TGGCAACACCCAGGTATGCTCCTCCCCACAGTTACCTGGCAACAGCCATGTAGGCCTGCCCACTATAAAAGGGGCTGCTTGCCTCCTCCCCTCTCTCTTGCTCTCTTGCCTCTAGCTTCTCTCTGTCCCCTAGCCTCTCCCCCCTTCCTTTCCCCCTCTCTCGACGTGGTCATGGCCAGCCTCCACTTCTCTCCTCTCTCTCTTCTCTCTCTTCTCCCATTTCTCTCCCCCCACCTTTGCCCTATCTCCTGAATAACCCCCCTCTTGGAACCGTTTGGTCTGGTGTGGTCTGTTCTAAGCTGCGCACCGAAGTCTAACACACATGGTGGAAGAGAAATCCAGTTCTCTCAAGTTGTCATCTGACCTTTACATGTGCCCAGTAATCAACCAACCAACCAACCAACCAACCAACCAACCAATCAATCAGTAAAAGTTAAAAAGAGAGTCAAAGTGAGCATGGTAGTGAATGCGAATCATCGTAACAGGAGGCAAGCTACAGAGGATTGCTGTGGGTTTGGAGACAGCCTAGGCTGCAAAGGGAGGCTCTGTATAAACAACAGAAGTATGGGCTCCTCACTCTTTGGGGGTTAGAAGAAGGAAGATGACAAGTTGGATAGGATCATCTAGTAATACATTGAAAACTTCCATACAGTGTGAACTTATGATTGACTTAACATAGATTCAGGTAGCTACATTTAAAGGTATTTACAAGGTATTTACATTTAAAGGCAAGTGTCAATTAGAATACATACTTATTTCCTTTTGCTGTAGCTAAAAGTCTACAAGCTAAATACCACAGTAGCAACAAGCCACACATTCTTAAATAAAAGGAAGCCAGACCTCTTGGAAAAATGAAGGAGGAGATAAATACAAGATGAGCCTGGAAACTGCTCAAAAGGAAATGCTCCCAAACCAAACCAAACCTACAGCTTAACTAGTCTACCTCTTTAGGCAGGCTCAAAATAGGCAGCCTTGGCTGGCCTTGAACTTGCAAGGATCCTCCTGTTTCTGCCCATGCCTCCTCATAGCTGGGATTACAGTATAAAAATATAGAGAGATGCTTTTCTGCATTAGTGTTCCATTCCTCTGTCTGTCCTTCTATCAGGGATGGATGATCAGGACTTCTTCACTCATCCAAACTTCACCTCTGCCCAGGATCCAGCCTTCAGAAACATTATAAATTAGGATAGATGTGAATACTGACTAACATTTGATAACTAGTAACTAGTACTTCATTTCTGCCTCTAGGATTAGGCCATATCTATAAAACTAGGATTATTACTTTGTAAGACGATGTTGCAGTGGCATACTCCTATAATCCCAGCACTGGGAGGGTGAGGTACAAGGATGAGTTTCAGGCCAGCCAGCCTCTCTGTATAACAAAGATCTGAGTCTAAAAAGAAAAGAAAAAAAAAAAGGTTTGTGAAAAAAAATGCCAGAAGCCAGGAGAGAGACATGGGACACACTGTCTCCTATACTCCTCAGAAAGACCCATGTTTTGAGACCGTGCTCTGGGACCTCCAGTTTCAGAACTGAGATGGCACATCTCCATTGTTAAAGCACACTTTATAGTATTGATATTACTTGAGCAAGTGAATACATATGCTTAACAGCTTAACACCTTCTAACTTTTTTGTCTCCCCAATAAGAATCTAAACCCATGAGTGTTTTCAGAGAGTTTTCACAGGAATCCTCGGCATATAGAAAAATGTCTGGTACACTGTATCTCTGAACAGTCATTGATAACAGTAGTATTCATGAATATATATGGATATACATATTTGTATATATGTATGTATATATATGTAGATAGATGATAGATAGATAGATAGATGATAGATAGATAGATAGATAGATAGATAGCGTTCTTGACTTGGAATGGTTCAATTTTTTGACTTTACAATGGTATAAAAGCAGCATACATTCAGTAGAAAATGTCCTCTCTCTCATTTTCTTTCCTAACCTGTCTTTGGTAGTACTGGAGTGGAACCCAGGGCCTCACCCAGGACTCAGCAAGTGTGCAACACTAGCTACAACCCCAGTCCAGATCTTTTGAAGCGATCTTTATACTTAGTTATTTTATGTGTATGGGTGTTTCACTCACGTGTATGTCTGTGTGTCTAGTACCCATGGGGTCTAGAAGAGGGCATCAAATTCCCTAGAAATGTAATCACAGACAGTTGTTTGCCATCATATGGGTGTTGGGAATTGAACCCACATGAATTGAATTAGTAGTCAATTGTCTTAACCACTGACTCATCTCTCTAGCCCTGAATTTTTGAAAACAAAATTGTTTTCAACCTAGTGACAGTAATATACTGTTTGATGTTGCTGGACAGTGGCAGTAAGCTGTAGCTCCCAGTCAGCCATGCTTTCCTCAAGGCAAATGGCAGATCCTCCACCCTACAGTGTACAGTGTTGCCAGCATTTTCTTCGGACAAGTATGCAATAAATTACTTAAGTTATTTACCACGATCACTAGCTGAACTTTGTGTTAGATGACTTTGTCCAACAATAGGCTAAGTTAATTGTTCGGAGGAGGTTCAAGGTAGATGAGGCTAAGCTATGCCAAGGCTGTTCAGTAGGTTAGGGTCGTTAAGTGCACCTCAGTTTAATAGTATTCCTAACTTTTACTTGGTTTGTCAGGAGGCTCATTTAAGTTAAAAACAAAACAAAAGAAGGAAAGTCAAGGGCACCTGAACTTTGGAGGAAAAGGTTCAGTCTTTTTCCACTTAAACTTAGTATTTTCATTTGAAAACAACTTATATGAAAATGTTCTTAATTTATAAAGCAATAACTGAACATGTTATCAATTTACAATAAAATACACAATACCTTATACCAACTTTTGGGATATGGACCCTACTCCTGTGTTTTCAGACCTTAGTAATAACAGAGTGCTTTGGGAGATATATATATATTGCATTAGATAGAAGAGTCCACCATCAGAACGTTCCTCTCCTCTTCGCTGGTTGGGTGTATTTTGTTTAAAGCCTGTTCTTTTCCTGAATGAAGCAAGAGGTTAGTGGTCAGAAACCCATTTCCCAAGTGCATGCATCTTCAATTTCAGCACTCCTGGGCCTCAAGGTGGTGAGGTAAGATTGTCCAGGTCAGCTACATAAAGAGACTTTACTACCACCACCACCAAAAGAAAAAAACCCTTTCTCCTACCCTTCATCTCCTCTTTTTCTTACATCTGGATGGTTGAATGGACATCTTTGGAAATTATGAAAGAACCATTTAGATTTTGTTTTTGTTCATTTAAATAAAAGTCACTTTCATAAGAACTCTCAAGATTTTGATTTGGGTATTTTGGTGTGCCCACATACTCAGTATTTCTCAACAGTCCTGATGGGTAGCTGATATCTGAATGCTAAGGAAACAGGCACCTTCTACAGACAAGAAGGAAGTGTAAGAGATAGGAGCTCAACTCATGCTTTGGATGCTCTGCTGGGCAAAAGTGCATTTTGTCTTCTTTTATAGGTAGACAAAGAAAGGATGGAATCCAGAAACATCAAAGTGGTGAATAGTCTTCCTTCAAATACCCATTCCTCAAGTTCAGACATAACCAGGGAGCTAGGCTTGTGCACTGACCTAGATTGGAATGGTCTCAGAAACCATGTCTCTAAAATTTCAGCATTCACAAGGCAGAAGCAGGAGGAGAGTTTGAAGAAAACCTGGGCTATTTAGTGAGACCTGTCACAAAACCCAATGAGCCAAACAATAAAACTGGTCCCAGTTTCCCATGGTAGGCACTGGCCACAACTTAGGGTTTAAAGAAGAAAGATGGTTATATAAAAAGGCTAAAATTTTAAAAGATATTCCAAGCGAGCATGAAAGTGTGGCTGGAGAGAACATGGAAGGTTGGGATGAAAAGACCACATTCCTGTGTTTGTGTAAGGGCACGGACTAGACTGAATCAAGACTACAAGCACTTGAGTTTTTCTCAGTAGGCTGCCATTTTCAGGTGACTTCAGGATCAACATCAGGTAGTGCTTTCAAATCTAACAGATCAACAGAACAAAGGTCTTGTTCTGAATGGTGGCGAATCTATGTAAACGCCAAGTCTAAGGTGGACATTCCCCAGGGTTCATTGGAGTTTCTGCGTGTTAGAGCCCACCCTATGTCCTTGCATCACCAAGGGACCATAGTGCAAACCCAAGTCCAGAGTGACCTTGGGCATCCTTCAAATTCCGGGTGGCGCAACTTCCCCGCCCTGCAGTGAGCAAGGCTCTTCTGGAGTTACAGGTTTACAGAGAGGCCTTTGCTGAACCCTCCCTTATCTCAAGTCCTCGCCCTACAAACAGCAGGACCGGGAGGAGCAGCCTTGAGGTTGTGGGGTCTACGCCGACACTCTAACAGTCCCTGCCTCGCGCGAGACGCGCTCTCCCACGGCCCCACGTTCGCGCACACTAGGGGCACTCCGCCAAAGCAGGTTTGGGATGACAGCCGCGTGGGCTGAGGATGCTCGGTGCCCGCCGCCGATGGGAGGCAGCGTGAGCCCGAGAGTCGGGAGCGATCGCGGTGGCCGCGCTCGAGCGCAGCCTCCTCCCGCTCCCACAATGCACAGGGCGGCAGCGGCGGCGGCTGCACCGCGCGCCGCTGAGGAGACAGAGGAGGCTTCGGAGGCCAGGCCTCTAAGAAGGCGAAGCGGCTGAGGAAACCCAGGGAGCGAGGGGGAAGAGGACGCGAGGCTGCTGAGGAGACCTCCAGGACTTGTGTGTGCGGACCAGGCGGCTGGGGAGACTGAGGCGGCCGCGGTTGCTACCCCGAGCCCCCGAGCACGCGCCTCGGGCTCACGCGGCCGCCGAGTCCGGGAGGTGATGACTGTCAGGCTCCCGTCCGCCGCTAGCGCCTGACGCGCCCCGCCCCGCCCGGGCCCGCCCGCCACCTTGGCCCGCCCTGCCCGGCCCGGCCCTTCCCCTGCTCCCCGCCCGCCACCGTTTCACCCGCGCGGGCGGCCGCCACGCGAGCTGCGGTCTCCGCCCAGGCGGGGGGCGTCGGCGCTGGGCCGGCCATGGCCGCGTCCGAGCTCTACACCAAGGTAACGCGCGCCGCGGAGCCGTGCCCTGGGGAGGGGTCGCGCGCCGGGGACCGTGGTTGTGGGACCCGCGGGTCCACCGGACTCATCTCCCTTCCCGGCTGCACCTCCCTATCCGGCTGCACCCCCTTGCCCGGCTGTACCTCCCTGCTCTGCCTCTCGAGCCCATTTCGGATGGGATGCTCTTAGGCAGATGCAAGGGCCGCTCTCCAGGGACTCGTGCTTAAAATAACGTCCTGTGCAGGTCTGCGCCAGGCAGCTTCTCGGGGAGATTATTTCGGATTCTGCAGATATGGCCAGTCGGCTTTCACCTTTAGCTGCGGGTTTCTTGCCATTGCCCTGGGGTGCGGAGCCTGTAGGAAGATGTAGCCCGGAGATGGCGAGCTTATTCTTAGGCTCTGCGCGTTATCCCCCGAGAGCCTCGTTGGCTGCATGTCCTCACCCTCCTTTCCGGCGAGCCTTTCCCATTTGCTCTTCGTTTAGGGGAAGTGGCAGCCTTGTCAGTCTTAAACCGACGCCCATATTCTCAGGGTCTGGTAATCTCTGAATGGCGTATTTTGGAGAGACTATTAAGAAAATCTGTGTTGGGCAGTGTGTGGTGTATGCATTCGTGGCATCTTGTGTTATGGTTTCAATTGATGTTTTTGCCAACTAATGATTATTAAAATTATCTCTAATTCCACTCAACAGAATTGCCTTAACTTTTCAAGTTCACATTTTCAAAATTTTACCAGAATCTATCTCTTCTTGTTTCTCTCCATCTCTGCCTTTGTCTCCCTCTCTGCCACGGAGATTGAATTTAGGACCTCATGCTTACTAGGTAAACCCTTTACCAATGAGTCCCAGCTTTCTGGACTCTTCTTTTAGCAGTCTGGACATCAATAAGCCCAGAGTCCAAATTACAGCCTTGAGGAAAGAAATCTGGATGGGGAATCCAGATAACCTGCATCTGATTTGGACCTCTCCACCGACTGTGTGACATTTGACAAACTACATAACCTCTCTGGCTCAGGTTTCTTACTTATAAATAGAGTGAATTTTATTTGTCCTTCCTTACAAGCTGTTGTGAAAATCAAATTTAATACTAGTTGTGAAAGCACCTCTGTTTTTTTTTTTTTTTTTTTTTTTTTTTTTTTACAAATATGGGGTATATGATTAATTTCTTCCAGCCATGAAATGAAGAGCTTGAATGAACCTGGGACTTTCTTTCTATCCCTAGACTTAAGAAGAGCACAATTAGAACATTTCTCTAAACCTAGTAATTTCTTTAGGCATGGCAAATCTATAAGGCTATCATTGGAAACTGACTAAAAGTTACCTTATTAACTTACATAGTACAAATTCTAAGTGTTTTGCAAATATTAACTCATTTAATCATTGCAGTTTATGTATGAAGTAGATACAAGTAACAATTATGTCACTGTAAAGAACTGTCACTGTCATTGTAAAGAACTGTCACATTGTTGCACTGTTCTGTCTTGTCTGGCCCCCTACCAGTCTCCTGCCATCAGGCCATCTTGGACCTGCTAATTATAGGCTGATAAGCAGAAATTGGGTGGTAAGTTGTTGGACTTCTAGATCTGGCCCCCTCTCCCCACCCCCCCGAAGATATTTTGTAGAAAAAAATGTCATTTTTAAATTACAAAGTTTTGAATTTCAATCACAGCCTTATGGGTAATATAAGTCTTATAGTCTTCCTAGATAACAGACAAATTTAGTCACTGAAACTGAGATTGGGACTTAAGGGACTTTTTCCTAAATTCAGATATACCTCAGAATAGCCTGATTCTGTAGTTATTTGTGGACTGATTCTGTGAATGGGCCTTAGTTTAATGACAGGAAGGAATATTTATTGAGTGTACTGTAAGCCAAATACTCTGTCTGGTGTTTAGAGTTTCTAACAGTGGACAAGTCATAGCCCTTTCCTCATAGGACTCACAGTCTGCTTATTATATTCTTGACCCACTTTGAATATCCAAGGGCGTAAATAACCTGCTGTTACCTTAACAACATGAAGCAGATGTGTTAGCAGGACATAGATGACGTCTATGGGTACGGCAAAGGTTGGAATGACTTTAGAGGATGGAGTACTAAGTGTTAGGAGAAGGAAGGAAACCAAGAGAAGAAATGTCAGTATAACCCAAGTATTTGTCCCTTGCAGACGATTATAGAGAAGGAAGTGGTGGATAGATTACAAGGAAAACCATGTTACTGACATGCCATAATTATGATACTCAGCATGTGATTAAATATGAAAGTGCCCTTTTAAAAGTTGTCATCAGACCTTTAAGGCAGATTTTGATGTGTGATACAGATCAGCTCCTATTACAGTGAAGGGCACGGGACTGTTCAACTTATTTTCTTAAGTTAAAATGATAATGGTTTTCACATAGCAATTTAGTAGGGTTTCCATTTCATAAAAAATTTCCAGAAGTTTAAATATTTAAGAGCAATAGCTTAGTGCCTGGATATAATGTTTCTTGAGACTGACATTTTGGTTAAAACATATTTGTTGATTTTCAGGTAGGGTTGCTAAAGATCTTTTTTTTTTTTTTAAATTACAGCACTATTGAGTTATTTTATACTGTACAATTCACCAATATAGAATATCTGACTTAGTAGTCTTAGTATATTCACTGGGTTATGTGATTTAAGGTCTACCTAAGAACTCTGGAGAGAGTTGCTAGTCTTGACTTAACAGTGACTATCTATTTGGCAAGCTCATCTATTGATGCTTTTAACAACCTCAGAGGTCCAGCGCTTGTGGGACAAAGTTTATCAATGAGACAGGGAAGGATCACCTGTAGCCATTTAATTAATTGCATATTAATAGTCCATATATATCATTGATAGCACATGGATGCTGTAGAATGGACAAGGGTACCTAAAGCTGTTTGATTAAAGTTCCTGGTGATACAGGAAGATGCTAAATATTGTAGGAAACAAAGAAATCAGACTGAAACTCCAAAACCATTAAAAATTTCCCAGAGAAAAACAGCTTTGTAGGGCAGTAGATTGCATATTTGCTTCTATATTTGCCTTTTCCATGTTTTCTTATGTACCTACTGAAGCCATTTAACCTGGATACACCTGAGTGCACATGTGTGTCTGTGTTTGTCTGTGTGTATGTGTGTGTGCATCTGTTTTCTGGTGTAGTTCAGTTTGATATTCAATAGCACTGTCCCTCAAAACACCATTCCTGGAGATTCTGATATTTTGTTGTTGAAATCCATTATCTGATCATGTGCTCTGATCTGGAGTTTGGCAAGTCCATCTTCAGTCATGCTCCCACTATGCCTTTTCCCTTCTGATGTCCTTATGCTTGTCAGTGGCATTTTCTTCCAGTCTCATGAGTTAGGAACCTCAGTACCCTTTTCTTTGGATTTTGTATTTTACTTCTTTACTAATTCTGATTTCATGTGACATCCAGCTGTTCAGATTCTGAACCATGGCTAGCATCTTCTTTTTTTTCTATGTCTTGATGACCTGGATACATTTCCATCTTCCTGTAGTTATGTTGAGTGTATCTTACCACTGTCATACTACTAGAAGCCTCTGAGATGCTATCTTGTTCAGCTCCTGTTTGTTAAACAAACGAGTGAATGAATACTTAAACAAGAGGAGGTATGGACTGAAAATAATGACATGGGTCAGGTGTACTGATGCACTCCTGTGATCCTAGCACTTGGAAGGCAAAGGATTGCCATAAGTTCAAGGATGGCTTGAGCTATGTAACAAGACCCTATCTGAGAAAAATTAAAAAGGAAATTATAAGAAGGTGATTAAATAAGTAAACACATAATAAGGCATACTGAAGAAAATGAATGAGAGGAGAGCTGGGAGCCAAGGAGACCAAAAGGAAAGCTGTGTCAGGAAATAAAATGAGAATTGTGGAGGTCTGGTGGACTGAGGCAGTACAGAAGAAAGGTGTTTAAATGAGGGAATAAACCTGAGAGACAAGTCTCTTGGAGGATTAGATACAGGACGAGAAAGAGAGGAGCTGGGATAAGGGCATGCTGGGAGCTCCACCTAGGAAACCGGAAGCTGTTCCTAGAGACTACAAATGGAAAATTACTCAGAATAATTTTCTGAATTGCCTGAGCAATGCAAAGTGATTACAAGTTGCTCTTGAATTTTGTCACTGTCTCTTAAATCATGAAAGTTCAGTGGCTCAAATATTACAAAGGTGTTCTAACTCTAGTAATACTTGCTACTCATGGACCAGTTGTTCAAATATTAGCTTTTTAAATAAGGAGAAACTAGAGGAGCAATGAAGAACACACACACACACACACACACACACACACACACACTCCCCTACACACCTTGTCTCTCCAGGGTTTTCTTATTCTGCAGCCCAGACTGCTCTGGGCTTACCTTCCTAAGCTGGCTTCAAAATCCTCCTCCTGACTCAGCCTCTTTCTAAATTTTGAAATTACACATGTGAGCTACCATGCCCTGCTGTGATTTGTTTCTTGACAAATGTATACGAAAACTAGAAGATTTTAAGAATAGAATAATCAGACCAGAGAAAAGACTGCACATTTAAGAGGGATGGAATGTGACAAATACATGTGATCTGGAAACATGATGGAGTATTAAACATCAAGAATAGTAGAAGTTTGGCCAGCAAGATAGTTTGGTGGGTAAGAATGCTTGCCGCTGAGCTGACAACCTAAGCTCGATCCCTAGGGCCTATGTGGTAGAATAGAGAACTGAATCCCTCAAATTGTGCATGGACCTCTATATGCACTCTGTGGCATGTGCATACATGCATGCACACAGATAAATAAATGTAGTAGTAATTTTTTGTTTGTTTGTTTGTTTGTTTTCGTTTTTCGTGATAGGGTTTCTCTGTGTATCTCTGGCTGTCCTGGAACTCACTCTGTAGACCAGGCTGGCCTCCAACTCAGAAATCTGCCTGCGTCTGCGTCCCAAGTGCTGGGATTAAAGGCGTGTGCCACCACTGCCCAGCTAGTTTTTGTTTGCTTGTTTATTTGTTT